TCTATAATGTTTTTAATAGGACATTATACATAAAATGTATTTAGATTCTGATGTAGAATCTAAAAATGTGTTCCATTTAGAAAAACGAAGTTGACAGCTACTTCCGATATAACCGTAAATGCCGTCATCTTGAAAATATTTCAGCCTATTTGCCCCCATTGACTTTAGTATATTGTAAAACTTTCATAATTTTCCTTATTATAGTTTTTCCATAATTGATCGATGCAGTTCCAGGAGATTGACCTTCTTCAGGGGTCAATCTCCTGGAACTGCAGTGTAGATATTCTTTGTGTTATCTACAATACAATTAGCAACGACACAGTATTTTGTATACAGTAATTTCATAAAGGCTGATTTGTGGTTTGAATTTTCCTACGCGCAGACCCACGCGTCGATGTCTTAGGTCTGCGCAAACGACGAGTTTAAGACAGGCATGCAATCAAAGCGTTTAAACACTGCTCAACATAACAAATATTCATATAAACTGCTCAAAAAAATACAGTCGATGAAAACCATGTTGGGCACCTAAGAAAATTGTACAAATGATAATTTTGCATTTGTGTAATATTCAAGTAACCCANGACACCGACATCAAAGGGACCGACGCTGAGTGAAACTACTGTATACAGAAATACTGTGGCAACGATATCAACTACCAACGCATTCATTGTTTTTAATTAAACCCGTCTGTCGTAGGATAAACAGTATCAACTTCATGTGCATATATTTAACGAACGTTCAATTCTTTCTGTCAACATTTGTGGTATTATTTATTATCACAAAATCTCCAATATATGATTGATGCAGTTTTCATAACAGAACTGTGATTTATGATTTTCTTTTCAAAATCCAAACATATTTTCAAAACTATTCAAGACTGACTAATGTTGAAGAAGTCATCATTATGTCGATGAAAATGCTGAAAAGAATAAAAAAATCACCAAAGTTGATTTCATAAAAAATAGCTACATACTCAACCAAATTTTTCAAATATGACAAATGACAACTGAAAAATCTGTTATCCTAAAGCTGATATTCGAGCCAAAGGATCATATTTTTTTCTCGCTCTTGTAAATACCAAACACAGAAAAGATGTAACCGAGACAACATATCTACATTATCGAACGCTTCCCAAGCGGAGCGAGCTAACCGAGTTCTCAGATTTTTCATTAAACGAACACATCTTATTATATGGCAAAATCAGTGTCACCAATCATGAAACAAGTTCAACCATTTTTCGTGAATACGGTCATTTCGTATGAAATCTAAAAAACTGTCACACGACAGTTGAACTTGGCTCCTGTGGTTTGTAAAGGAAAAAATATCAAACTCCTTTTTTATATTATGATTTGGAAATTCTGACTTTAACCTCAAAATTCAAGCGTTTTCTAAACCCTTTATCTAACGTTATCTTATTCACAATTAATTTTTTCCGAGTTTAAAGTCGAGAAAACAAATCCTAGTTTTAAGTCGAAATTTTTTTAACGAAATAAGTAGATTATTGTAAAATGACAGCTGTCGACAGTTTCCGTCTCCTAAAACATGGGAGCCAAGTTGTAACTTGGCTCTTATGCTCGAATCAAATTGCTTCTTGTAAGAAATATTTTAAGAGAGTTCCACATATCCCATTAGTGTTTAAATCTACCTCTGAGTAAAAATGAATCGAAGAGTGAATTATGTATTGAAGCTTATGATGAAAATTGGAGAAAAATTGCAATGATCACATTGGTCAACCTTATAGTTTGTTCACTTTAAGAAGAGAATGACGTCATTTTTGGTAAAGTTCGAAATAGTGCACATGTTGGCAACGCCGTAACTTGTCATTTTGTGACGTCATTCTCTTAACGTGAACAACCTATACTTGGAGTAGAAAACGGAATAACCGAACACATAGATGTCAGTTGTCCAATATTACCTGTCATTAATTGACAGTGTCAATTTGCAACTGGGTAGGTACGCTGGTACCATATGCCCAATGGAAGAAATATTACGTTATCGTTGTAAATAAGGTAGTTTTGAAATGTATCTTTCATTTAAAAGAAAGTTTCTCAATTTATGCAATATAAAATTGATTAATTGCACCTTATACTGATAGTCGAGTATTAAGTAGTTGCTGAAATTCTGAAGGTATGTACAGTTTTGGGGAAAAAAACTCGTGCTTTGGCGGTAGATTAGTATTTTTTAATAGCCTTTATATTTGTTTCTAGCTACCGTTAGACGAACAGAAAATGGCTTCAGTTATTGAAATTCCCCTCAGGGACACGGATGAGGTCATAGAACTCTATTCTGATCAACTGCCTGATGGAGATGAAGTTTTAGGCATTTTGCGTCAAGAAAAAACTCAATTGAATGTCTGGGTAAATCTAGCTCTGGAATACTACAAACAAGAGAAAATAGATGATTTCCTCAAGATACTGGAAGCTTCTCGAACAGATGCCAATATCAACTACCGTGATTATGAAAAAGATCAAATGCGTGCACTAGATATGCTTGCAGCGTATTATGTCCAGAAAGCTAATAAGGAGAAGAATAAAGACCGAAAGCGAGACCTTTTCACGAAGGCAACTCTTCTGTACACTACAGCTGATAAGATTATTATGTACGACCAGAATCATCTTCTGGGCCGTGCCTATTTCTGTCTTTTGGAAGGCGATAAGATGGAGCAAGCAGACGCTCAGTTCAACTTTGTGTTGAATCAGTCGCAGAATAATATTCCATCCCTCCTGGGGAAAGCTTGCATTGCCTACAATAAGAAAGATTATCGAGCAGCTTTGGCATTTTATAAGAAAGCACTGAGAGCTAATCCTAACTGTCCGGCGGCTGTCAGGTTAGGAATGGGGCATTGTTTCATCAAGTTGAACAATCTCGAAAAAGCTCGGCTTGCCTTCGAACGAGCTCTAGAGCTGGACCCGAAATGTGTCGGAGCTTTGGTTGGTTTGTCGATACTCAAATTGAATTTGCAACAGCCCGACTCGATAAGATACGGTGTGCAGATGTTGTCTAAGGCATATACCATCGATTCTTCTGACCCAATGGTTTTGAATCATTTGGCAGATCACTTCTTTTTCAAAAAGGACTATAGTAAGGTTCAACATTTGGCGCTCCATGCCTTTCACAATACAGAAAACGAGGCTATGAGGGCAGAAAGTTGTTACCAGCTTGCCAGAGCTTTTCAGGTTCAGGGTGATTATGATCAAGCTTTCCAGTATTACTATCAGGCGACCCAGTTTTCACCGGCATCATTCGTTTTGCCACATTTTGGGTTAGGTCAGATGTATATCTACAGAGGAGATACTGAAAATGCTGCCCAGTGTTTTGAAAAAGTTTTGAAATCTCAACCAGGTAATTACGAAACCATGAAGATATTAGGCTCTTTATATGCCAGTTCTACTTCTCAATCTAAAAGGGATATTGCAAAAGTGCACTTGAAGAAGGTGACGGATCAGTTCCCGGATGATATTGAGGCCTGGATTGAGTTGGCTCAGATTCTCGAACAGAGCGACTTGCAGGGTTCCCTGCAGGCTTATGAAACAGCCATGCAGCTTTTGAAGAAAAATGTGCAATCCGAGATTCCCGTGGAAATTTTGAATAATGTTGGAGCCTTACATTATAGGCTGAACAACTTGGAGGAGGCTCAGAAGTATACCGAGGAAGCTCTGAGACGAGCCAAAGTAGAGGCTGCACATGATCCGCAGTACTACAACTCTGTCTCTGTAACTATGACCTACAATTTGGCTCACCTCAATGAAGCTATGTTCTTATTCGACAAGGCTGAAAAACTCTACAAAGACATTTTAAAGGAACATCCAAACTATGTGGACTGCTATTTGCGGTTGGGCTGTATGGCGAGAGATAAAGGGCACGTTTATGACGCCTCAGATATGTTCAAAGAAGCCCTCAGGATAGACACTGAACATCCTGATGCTTGGTCTTTGATGGGAAACCTTCACATGGCAAAGCAAGAGTGGGGACCCGGTCAGAAAAAGTTCGAGAGGATATTGAATAATCCCTCAACCTCCCAAGATGCATATTCGCTCATTGCTTTGGGCAATGTATGGCTCCAGACTCTCCACCAGCCTAATAAAGATAAAGAAAGGACGATAAGACACCAAGAACGTGCGCTGTCTATTTACAAACAAGTTCTCAAAATTGACCCCAAAAATATTTTTGCTGCTAATGGCATTGGAGCTGTTTTGGCCCATAAAGGAGCTGTTAATGAAGCAAGAGATATTTTTGCTCAGGTTAGAGAGGCTACAGCGGACTTCTCAGATGTGTGGTTGAACATAGCCCATATTTACGTAGAGCAGAAACAATTTGTGAGTGCCATTCAGATGTACGAGAACTGTTTGAGGAAATTTTTCAAATATAATAATGTTGAGGTGCTTCAGTACTTGGCTAGGGCTTACTTTCGAGCTGCCAAATTCAAAGAAGCCAAAATGGTACTGTTGAAGGCGAGGAGAGTTGCTCCTCAAGATACAATATTATTGTACAACATAGCGCTGGTATTACAAAGGTTGGCAACTTCTATATTGAAAGATGAAAAGTCAACTTTATCTACAGTATTGCAGGCCGTACACGAACTAGGAATATCCCTGAAGTATTTCAATTACTTAGTTGAGTTGAACGACAAGATGAGATACGACGTCTCGTTGTGTGAACTTGAAGCCAGGCAGTGCAAAGATTTATTGTCTCAAGCGCAGTATCATGTTGCTAGAGCAAGAAGGGTCGATGAAGAAGAAAGGTTGATAAGGAGGAAGCAAGATGAAGAGCGTACTGCTTTCAAATTGAGACAAATTGAGGAACAAAAGAAGATGGAAGAAGTTCAACGACTCACTAAAGAACAGATGCTGCAGAAGCGGCAAGAATACAAAGAGAAGACCAAAAATGCTGTTATGTCCATAGAACTTCCTCCTGAGAAGAAGAGTAAGGGCAAAGGTAGAAGTAAAGGCGATATTCTCTCTGGTTCAGACAGCGATCAAGATAACCCTGAAGGTGCTCCAAGAGAGAAGAAAGAAAAGAAAGAAAGGGGGCGCAAGAAACAGAAAACAGATGAGAGGAAGAAATCGGGTAAGGGAAGAAAACGTAAAGAGAGGGAAGAAAATTCTGATGGATCTGGTAGTGATCGTCCGAAAACGCACAGAAAGAAAAAGGTTAAGGAACCCAAAACAAAAGTTAAGAAGGATGATGGTCTCAGTGCCAAGCAAAAGAGTCGGATCGTCTCTAAAGCTACAATTTCTTCAAGCGATGAAGATAGCGATGACAATAGGCTTAAATTAGCAAGTGGAGATGAAAGCGATCAAGGAACAAGTAAGAGGAAAAGGAAAATCTCTTCTGGTTCCGATTCGGATCGGTCCAAGTCCCGAAGTAGGTCCAGATCTAGAAGTGGATCTAGAGCCAAATCTCGTTCAAAGAGTCCATCAAGGTCTCGATCACGCTCTAAGAGTCCGTCGAAGTCTCGATCCCGTTCCAAGAGCCCATCAAGATCTCGATCTCGCTCAAAGAGTGGTTCCCGATCTAGAAGTGTTTCCAGGTCCAGGTCTAGATCTAGAAGTAGATCAAAGTCCAAGAGCAGATCAAGATCTCGTTCAAAGTCTGGAAGCAGGTCAAGGTCCAGATCGGGGTCCAAATCATCTTGATATTTTTTTTATATTGAAATTTGTAAATGGTTGATAAATTTTTGTAGACTGAGATATGCGTTTTATTTATTTTCTCAAAACGAGATTCCAAAACAAATTTTGCAAAGATATTTTAGTTCATGGACGAGAAAATTTTGAGGCGTTCTATCAATAATAAAGTGAATTGACAATATTAAAGAAGTTAATGACTGTATTGACGTTAGATTGAACTTGTCTAGGACCATAACTATTCAACAATTAGGCATTTCAATAAAAAAATGTTCCAAATCTTTCCATATTCCAATTAAGGCTGAAAGAGTTTCTCAGAAAAAGTTTACTATGAGTTTAAATTTAGTTTCAATGTCCTATGTTTCTACCTGTAATTGTAATATATCATATTCAAGGTATATAACCAGTGACATCTTCCTTGTTATTGTATAAAGATATCTACTTTTACTCTTCAACAAGAGAAATACGAGTAACTAATATTCAAGGGAATAGCTGAATGAAAAGCTAGTATGAGAAGAGAAGCAATTGNTCCTTATAGCATTTTAAAGTACATGTATTGTTTGTCTAATCTATGTTCAAATTTCTTTTGACTCGTTTTATGCCTTTTAGGTCTTTGAAACCAATAAAGATTATTATTATTATCAATGTGTGCAGGACAAAATCCGATCAGTATATGCCAAGATACAGTAGATTAAATATTTATTGAAATATGGAGCTATAAAAACACATGATATACATCCTAAAATGTTTATTAAGTAAAAAATAAAAATGATTGAATAAAAGTATTTTTTGGTATTTTTTGCCACTTGAATTGCTTTTCATAAATCCACAGTTTCATCAAAATACAAACATCAATCAGATTTTTTTTTTCAGCCTACCTATGACTCCAGGTATGGTTTCAACCAAGATCAACAGCAAGTACCTCCAGACTCCCAACTTACTCCTACAGACTCCCCCATCGTGAAAGACCCTCCTTACACTCTGTCCAATCCAGACATTCCGTCCTCAATTGAACCCCAAAATATTTATGGAAAAACGGCTAATTACAACGACAAATCTCCGATCTACTCCTCTGAACCCTACCAGAAAGCAGACCCCCGACACGAATTCAACTCTAGAAACGAATTCAATTCACCAGATAGAAGGCCCGAGTTTAACAGTACAGAGAAGAATATGCAGCATAAGAGGCAAACGAGCACCGTCCACGGAGTTTATGGTCACGTTAAAGGGCAGGGTGGGGTCGAGCAGAGTCCTGCGAAAGACGGCATTTATGGACAAGTTCCGGATTTACCGCCTAGGATCGATAGAGCAGCTAAACCTATGGGGTTGCTGACCACTCCTAATAAAATCCCGAATGGGTAAGTAAATTTTATTATTTTACTGGTGTTCCAGTGTCTTTTTTGGGATAAAAACCAAAATTTATAGAAATACTAGATAAAAAAATTCATTGAAAGGAAAGTTTATAGAAATTTATATAGATTATGAATGAATACACAACTAGGTACTAGTTCATAAATTATAATAGATGATTCATTCGCTGGTCTTTTCATGAAGATTAGGTTCTATACATTGTTATATTTATTTTCCATCAATTTTATCACAAACTTTACCTAGAAAATATTCGTCCTAATACGCCTGTATATTTACCTCACAAAAATCATATCAAGTGTTATGTGAAATACAGTATCTACAAGAAAAATGCATCTGCAAAATTTCACGAGTCTATATTGCATGATGTGAAGTGAATAGTGATTTGAAGTCAAAATTTAATGAATTTCCCAAAAACTTCTATCTACAAAGCTTAGTCACAAATAAAATAAACAATGGCATATATACTCAGATATTAGTTATAAATACGTGGTCAAAATACTAAACAAAATTAAAATAAGAAAATAACAAAAATATAGAATTTTTAACATATAGTCATTGGGCATACTTGAAGACTGGTTATTGATCACATCATCTAAAGGAACAATTCGTTGCCTGTGAACGAGGTAACCAACCGCATATCCGAAATTTTCCCAATTCCTCCTATAAGGAAAGAAAACTTTTCACATGTAGTCAGTGATTTAGTGTCGATCATCAACATGAAGTCGATAATTTCTCATAATTGAAAATATAATTCTTTCAGAGTATCATTCCTCGAACTAGGCTGAAGCCAACGACAAACAACATGTTTGTCATCGCCCCATCTACTCGTGAACGAGGTAACCAACTGCATATCCAGTGGAGTAGTTGTTTTCTTATAGTTGTCAATCCATTAACCTACAATGTAGGTAAGTTGAGATTGGCCTAAATGAATTGTTCTTTTAGATTATTTGATTTATAGCCAGACTCCATGTATGCCTACTCACTCATTTATGTGCTGATATTGTTTTCTATTGTTGAAATAATTTTCAAAATCGATTAAGTAGGTTTTCAATTATTGTATAATATATAAGTAATTTTCTTTCAATTAGGCGATCAGCTCATGAGCGATTATTTGGCTCGAAAACCATCCCTCAGGCGGTCAGTAACGATCCGAACGCAAATGAGAATGCCAGTTTCAATACCAAAGCGAGTTCTCTTGAAAGAAGTCAGAATTCCAAATCGGTAAGTACGATTATCAAATATCATTTCTTAGTAATAGAACCCCATTTTATCTCCGTTACTCTTTATTATCTATATTTCTGATTTTGGCAAAGCACGTCTCATTTTTTATTGCCCAATCAAGAAGAGTAATAGGTTAAAAATAGTGTCAGACGTAAAACTAGTGTCGTCATACGTAAAATTCACAAGATGAACGTCATCATTTGTGCCATAATGTTTACGTAAAATATAAACCATAAAGGGCCGATTATGATGCCTTGTGGGACGCCTACTAACAGTAAACCTTCTTCCTTTATCTACAAAACTACTCTAAAGGTGGAAACGCTAATTTAAACAACATAATTTGATCTGTTTGATATCTCATCATAGCCTGCACTGGTTTTGTTTTTCAATGTTTTACATAAAATTGTTTCGATAATAGTTACGAGAGTAAGGGTTATAGAGTTGATTTTTGAAGCGATACTTGTTACAAAGTCAATGAATTGAATACTACCTTCAAAACTCAGCCAATGAATTTGTTAGGGGTCACATAAATTCATCGTAAGAATTGAAATCTCGAAGAGACAGTCAAATTTGAATATTTTAGGATTCTTTATCGAGCTATGATTCTTTCAACAAACAGTCCAACGCTAGAATTGGCCCAAATGCTCATGATGATCTCAAGACAACGCTCTCCAAAATCGATCCCGCCGCAACGAATTTGCCAAACAGTCCGTCCAAATACAACGTAGGTCCGAGGTGGGAACAAAATTCTCACCGACACGGGTCCAAAATGGACCTGAAATTTGGTTTACCAAGTGCAGAGCAACATCTGGACAATAGTTTGAGGAATTCAAGAGAAATGGAGAAGGAGGGTACTCCAATGGATCCTACTAGTCCCAGAGATTCTGTAGAAAGAGAAATGTACAGGTATGTTGATCTGAGTGTTTTCCCGTTTCTTTATCGTCGAGTAGATTGTATAAATGAATAATATACCATGGGGTACTATTAATATTTCGGGAACTGGCAACATTAATGTCAACAGGTAAAATCTGGCAACACCACAATGAAGTTTGACATTTTTTAGCTTAAACGTACCTGCTCACAACGTTTCGATGTACAAGTGCTATTTGTTTTTGGCTCAGTGAGTCAAGAAAATCAATTCGACCAAAAAGAAATTTCAAGAGAAGGTTTTGGTTGGATTATTTTTCACAACTTTCGACGTGGATTATCTCAACAAGAATGTGTCGATGAACTCATCAGTTCTTTGTATGGCGATAAAGCACCATCAAAAACCACAGTATATCGCTGGTATAGTGAATTCAATCGTGGTCGTAGTTCGGTCACCTACGAATTCCGTGAAGGTCGTCCAAAATCGGTTGTTGAGCCACAAAAAACCGATGCAGTGCCTGAGATGATAATACAAGATCATCATGTGAGATTCAATTCAATTGGAAATGATTGAAAAGTTGAACCGTGGTTCTTCAAAAGACGTGTATAAAATCGTGGCAGGTGACGAATCATAGATATATGCGTATGAGCCGGAAACAAAACAGCAATCGACCGTGTGGGTATTTCAAGACGAGCTTAATCCAATAAAAGCTGTTGATTGAAGAAGCACAGCAAAGCAAATGGTCGCCTGTTCCTTTGGCCGAATTGGTCATGTGGCCACTGTTCCGCTTGAGCAACATTTCTGAGTGGTACACGACCATTTATTTGCGGGAGTCTCAGAGAAATTCGTAAAACAAACCGCCGAAGACCAATCATTTTACATCATGACACACATCTCGTCAAACAGGTGAATTTTTGAGCAGTCAAAATATCGAGTTTGATGACTCATCTTCCGTACAGTCCTGATTTGGCACCCAATAACTTATTCTTGTTCCCGAATATCAAACGTAAATTGCGTAGTCAACGGTTTACGAGTGCCGAAGAAGCAGTTGAAGAGTTTAAAAACCATGTTTTGTAGGTGTCTCAAGAGGAATGGAAAAACTGCTTTGACAAATGGTTGGAACGAATGCAAAAGTGTATTCATTATCAAGGGGAATATTTTGAAAATAAAGCCATATTCATTAAAAAAATTGTTATTATTTGCTATTCCCGAAATATAAATAGTACCCCTCCTATGATGTAGAAAACTGTTTTCGCGAGTGCAAACTGTTTTCTCAACACAAATGCAATTCAGTATACTCGTTGCATACAATGGTTCAACTGACAAATTGTTGAATAGTTGAATTTTCATTGTTTCCAGGTATTCTAGGTCCTCATCAAAACCAAACACTCCTGGAAAACCACATATGGAAACTAAGACCGATTATGGAAAATACAGGTAAATTTTATTCCTTTAGGAAAATGTCTGCCACTAGCAGACTTTGTTCTCGTCCTACTTTTTCTACTTTTCAGTATGAAAGTAAGAATATTAGGATTCTCATCTATCGAAAAGTTAATGATTTCCAATTTCTTCATTATGTTAGTCGGAACAATAACTCGTCCCAGCCTCATCACCAGCCTCCTCCTGAATATACCCGTAGCTCACATCAAGACCTTAGAGAGTCTACGCTAAGCATACATCAACAATCTCCCATTAGAAGTCCGCCGATGCATCATAACGGCTACGACACAGGTCCCCCGAACCACGTCGGGCCTCCCAATGGAAACGGGTACAAACCTGTCCCGCCCCCTAAACCTAAAAACTACAAGCCGCCGTATAAGCAACAAGGCTACCCTGGAGGAGAGGGGATGGTGCAGCCTCCGCCGGTTTATCAACATGGAAAGAGCCATAGTAATCCAGTGGTGAGTAGCATTCATAATTGAAAATTCACAATTTCTGTTGAAACCTTGCAACTGTAAAATCTTCAGGGAAAATCCTTGACACATTAATAACAGTATAAAGTAGCATCATTCGATAGTATGCTTCCCAGACTATTGAACATCCTGCTTTTAGTAAGCGATTTTCAAATGAAGAGTGTTCCAACAGGGACTACTTTGACAGTTGATAACGACCAATTTGTTGAATCTATATCTGCCATATCAGTTGCCACCCATTCAGTCTGTTTTGCCATGGACGGATATAGCAACACAACACGTGCAATAGCTTCTTCAACAGTGATTTGAATAAGTTAAGAGTTAGATGAATATTACTGTAGTTTTTTCCCAAAACCAAATCGCTGTTTTTAACACCTCGACTCGTGTTTCGATCACCAAGTGATCATCTTCAAGAGGAAGATTAATCTTCACCAAGTGATCATCTTTAAGAGGGAGATTAATCTTCACTTGGTGATCAAAACACGTGTCGAGGTGTTAAAAATATCGATTTGGTGTTGGGAAAAAACTCCAGTAATATTGATTACTACACCAAAGGTTCCAAACAGTGCATCATAAGTAAGAGTTAGATATTGATTTCAAAAAACATTGGTGAATATCATAGAATATGGTCTACTTTGCTAAATCCACCAGTAATATTGATCTATTTTTAAGGAATAATGGTTGGCGTAAATTTAAGACAAAACTTCAGTATCGGGTGAGAGTATTGTGGTAAAACTCTTTTTGTAATTCTCAGGGGCAGCTATTTTTTTTACTTGAATGTGTGTACGGACTGGTATGTATATACATTACAAGAGTATTTCGCTGATTTCCATAATCATTAATAATAAATCAGATTTCCTGTAGGAACTATTTGAACAGAATACATTTTCACATGAAATGATTTATTTTATAAATATATAATATCCCTCCGATTATCAACTAAACCAACCGCCACTGTTTTATGGTCCAACTCACTTCCCGTAAACAAACGAAGTTATGCTGCCTTCAATGTAAGGATGGAAAAGGCATCTCTATTGTCTTTTGTTACTCTGAGGGTCTTACCTAAAAATAGGAAGACCAACCATTAACTCCGATTAGTTTAAAAAATAATTTTTTGTTATTAGTTGCACGGTTCTGCCAAGTTTAGATGGTCACGTCGATTCAATATGTACGAAGTTTTAGCGAAGAACGATGAAGTTAATAAAAACTAACGAAATGTAAAATATGTTACAGGCAAAAATCTCTTTATATTTCAAATTTTAAACTTAAGAATGCTCAAATCAGGCGTGTGGCGGCATCTAGTGAAGAGTAGCCTAGGTTCCGGTACAGGGCCGGTCTTATAGTAAGAAATATAATTGCGAAAACATGCATGATCAGTTGCCTATGCACGTTTCGTTATAGTATATTAGTTGATTTGTGGTTCTTGTCCAAAACTAATATACCCATTGGTCCATCTCAAGGCCAATGATCAGCCGAAAGGGTAGGGGAGCTGGTCTCCAAATCCTGAATGAAATGAAGATGTTCGTCAGCTTGTCCAAAACTATATATTGGTCAAAGAAGAACTTGCTCCAAAAGAATAAATAGTTTTTTGAATTAGAAGACCAATTCAATATGTGAACCATCTTCTGGCCATCAATAATGACTATGAATCAATGGAAGAGTACTCAAATTTTTGGAATATTTAGAAATCATATGATTCAAGAATTTGAAACATTTGCCCAATAACGAAATGGAATGAAATAATTTTGCTCTGCTAATTATCTCTTATTCCTACTATTGCAAAAATAATGGAAAAACTAGTTAAAAAAAGACTCAATGAATTTCTCCTTCGCCATAACATTGTAAGGAAAAATCAATTTCGATTCCAGAGCAACAAGAGCACACATGATGCAATATTCTCTTTCCTTTTTGAGGTGTATTTCAATATGAATGTTGGAGATGCTGCTGCAGCAATGTTTTGTGACCTTGCAAAACGTTTGACTGCGTTGATCATAAAATACTGCTACGCAAGCTGAATATCTATGGATGTAGAGGGATAACACTACGTTGGTTTGAGTTGTATCTCAATGGTCGCAGTCAAATTGTGAAAACGACAGTATTGAAATAAATACTGGTGTACCATAGGGATCGGTTCTCGGTCTCATATTGTTCCTGTTGTATATTAACGATTTGATGAACATCAGTATATCTGGAACATTCACTCTTTTAGCTGACGACACCACTATATTGTGGCATAGTAAAGGTATAGATATACTCAATGAGACAATAGCTCATGATATACAAAAAATCAAGTCTTGGTGTGATTCCAATCTAATCTCCTTTCATATTTCGAAAACAAATATTATGACTTTCAAATGTTCACTTCAGAATTTATCTGTAGCGAGCGGTATCATTGAGAACAGAGAGTGTACTAAATTTCTGGAAAAGTAAAATTTTCACCGGCTGTTATTCAGTGAGAGTTATTGCTAGAGAACTGGGAGTTTATACTGCGAAAACAGCATATCACGCTTTGGTAGAGTCTCACTTAAGGTACGGTATACCTTTTTGGGATGTGTGTAGCCTTAATTTTCTGGAGTCTGTATTTGTATTACAGAAGAGAGCTATACGATACTTGTGCAAAGCTAAACATCGTGACTCATGCAGGCAACTGTTTATAGATAAAAAAAATTTGACGGTTCTAGCTCTTTTTATTCTGGAGACAGTGTGATTAATTAAGAAACACCTTATGAAACTTGAGGTTACCATCCATCACTATACAACTCGTCAGAGCATGCAAAAAATTTTAAAATTACCTATCCCTTGCAACTCTCTGGTCAAGGACTCCTTATTTTACAACTATGTGAAGATGTATAACCATCTGCCGAGTTACACTAAAGAGATAAATATTGATACCAATCAGTACAGAAAAATTATTGAAGAAATTTTGAGTAGTAGACCNAGAATCTCTTTCCAACTGGAATATGTGATTTGAGGTTATTCTAAATCGCATCTTTTATTGCAGATTGTTGGTTCCCCTTTCAGAAAATGTTGGATAATATATAGTGGGTGTAACTATAATTTCAATTGGTGATTACTTGTTATATTTTATGAAAAAAGTTCATATTAATGTGTGTCCAACTTGCTTCGTTTCCGAATAACAGGGTCTCACAGTTTTACTAAAAACATTGTTCTTTTATTAATAACTACCAATTATTTTCGCCGATTTTGTTTAAACTAGGTGTGTTCGTTATGAATAACAAAAGTGTTTGTTTCATGCAATTAGAATACAGATGATAATTCCAGTGGCGTCACAGAGGATTACCTGATTGATATTTATGCTGAAAATCCTTGTACGCCTCTGTTTTCGCTGAGTTTGATTCCATTTGAAATAGGTGAACTTTATCGAATCAATGCCGCAAATGTTCAAAAATTCCTGGGGTGTGGCGTATGACGGTAGAAAAAATTATGCATAATTCTGTTTTTCAAGTCATTTTCATCGACAACGGGTGTCGCATAAACGAGGGATTTATGTTTCCCCAAAAGAAATGATCCAGAGGGATCAAGTCTGGAGATCTAGGTGGCCATGGTTGAAATCCCTGCGACCTATCCGCTGGTGAGCAAAAGTATCACTGAAATATTCACGAGCGGTTACACCAAAATGAGCAGGTGCCATGTCGTGCATAAATCATTTATTTAGTCTTACTAACAAAGATACATCCTCTAACGATTCTGGCAATGTGTCTTATAGAAATTGTCTGTACATTATACCATTGAGTCGAGAAGGAAGAAAATGCGGCCCCATGAGATGGTTGGGTCTAAAGTGAGTGGGTCTATTCGACCCTGCACCGCAACCCGCAAGGGTTTATTGTGGCTCACACCTATTCACACTCGGCCAAATAAACGCAGCTTCTCAATGAAGCCGATTAGTTTGTATGGTGAGTGGTCTTTCAGGTCACATAGTAAGAGTACGGCTCTGCCGAACTCCAAGAGCCTGATTCGGTCCCCAGCGGGGCAGGCACAAAGTATATGCTCTGCTGTTTCATCATTTTCCGAACAGAGGCGACACACACTGTCTTTCGACAGTCCGAGATAAGAGCTGGTGCGACTCAAATAAGCTTTCTTTAAACTTTGATGAAACCCATCTCCTCCCCTTCAAATGTGAACTCCCACCTCTTAGTTTGAATAACAACATTCTCGAGATGAAATTGTCCTTCAAATTCTTAGGACTTCACATTGATAATAAGCTTAAATTTGAGGATCATATTAGTTGAATAAAAAACTTGCATCTGGCTGCTTTGTAGTGAAGTCAGTTTCGAAGGAACTGGGCAGAACCTTTGCAAGGTCTGCGTACTTTTCCTTTGTGGATGCACATATAAGATATGGTATTGCTTTCTGGGGAGTATGCAGCAAAAGCATGCTGCAGACTGTTTTCGTTTTACAGAAGCGAGCTGTCCGGTATGTGTGCGGGGCAAAGTTCCAAGATCACTGCATACCATTATTCATTGAACAACGAATTCTGACAATAATATCCCTATTCATTCTTGAAAGAGTAAGTTTGATTCATAAAAATATATCTGTTCATGAATTTTACAATCACAACGCTTTTTAGGAATTGAAGTTTACTACTATATGTCACTATAATATAGCATATATTTTTTTAAGGAAATTTTTGGAATTTTAAATTGTATAGCATTTGTTTTATTTCGTAAAAATGTGTTTGACACCCTATTTTATATAAATGGGCTTTTAGGAATTACTTTTATACCATTTTGACATAGTTCATAATCGTTTGTCAACAAGAACTCTTTCTTAGGACAATAAACGTATTTCTCTCTCTCTCTCTCTCTCTTTGTTTGGCAAAGCCTAAAGCGATGCCAATCACAGGTTCTGGTCCGATGAAACTGCTTGCAGCACCCTCCACTGCAAGGGAGTCAGCAGCCTCATTGCCTTTTAGGCCACCATGGTTAAGAAGGCAGACCAGAGACAATCTGCTAAGTTTTCCTATCGAGGAGCTTCTTAAATAGGTTATATATTTCCGTATATATATATATGCATGGAACTGATAACAAGTTTTCCCTTATGAGTATAGGTTTGCAGCTATCACGACAGTTCATATCAAAAATTAATCTTATAATACGTTTTTGGGCAACAAATACAGTCGCATAAGTTCCTAGGCAGCTAGATATCTCTCTCCTGGGTCTGCGACTAAAAACACCTGCACCAGAACCGGAAGGTGTTTTTGATCCGTCTGTCAAGCAACAACTATCTGCTCTCAATATTTCCTTCCCCCGGAGGAATAGTACCTACTTTATAAGGCAGTTCATAGTTGACAGTTGACATTTCCAGAACGCTGGGACTTCCAGTGTCAACCAACAGTCTGTTGCAGTCTTTGCATTGAATTGATTTGTGCAATTGGCAATGTGCACAAGTCTATACACAGTCCATTAAGCCTCTCTCTCCAAAAGAATGTGGAGAGAATAGCTAACAAACACACCTAGTTGCATTGAAATCGGTGAAAAGACTTTTGAACTTTTAAAAAAAGAACAAAAATATTGTTAGGACACAGGTTCGTATGAATAAGATACACCCCGTATAGACTAAAACACTGAATTAATTTTAATTTGCCCATATATATATGTTACTCTTCTTTGGCTTCATGTTTCCGTTCCGATCTAAAAAATCTAAATCCAAAATCTATTACTCACTGTACATACTTCCTACAAAAATGTTTACCTAAATATTTATATAATTGTGCAAAATTATCTGCTATGCTGCTATGTGCTTTGTGTTTATAATTGCAAGAGTGTACACTGGTTGCCTTTTTTCGTTTATGTTACCTAATTTTCACATTTTGCTGATACATGTCACTTATATATTCATCTCTCTGCACAGGATACATTATAGGTTGGATTTCTAACTATATACTTTGGTATGTTGATTTCCGTTTGGTTTTTCAATTTCAAGTGTGATTTGCTCAAAGGCTTGGCAAAAGATGTTATCTAATATTGTACGTCGATATTTGATATTTGTACGTTGATATTTGAACGTCGATTTTTGATTTTCAGAATGACGCCTTCAAAAACAGTAACAAAATTATCCTAATAGTTGATGAATGAAAAATGCTTAGGCATTATTTTTTCAAATTGCAATTTCATCAAGTCAAATTCACAGGATGTTTTGGATTGGATAATTATTTGGCATTTTCACACTAACTCAATATGAACCAGTAGTGAAGGTCATATTTTTAATCCTTGAAAAGTATGCAATATAAGATAACATATTTTCAGTTTATGTGAATTTTTGCTCTGATTATGTGATTATGTTGTGTTTTGTTTTCATTTTGAATGTTACCGTGCAAAAAAATGAAAATAGTAAGAAAAAATATTACACACCTTTATTTGATGCTTCATTAGTTTTGATAAACTGACAACCATACCATTTCCTATTGACAAGAGCCACCGGTGGACAGCTGTTTCAGCCTAATGGACATCGTCAGTACCAGGCAGGCGGTCCTCGATTGAAGACAAAATGTGAATAACTAATAATAATAATAATAATCTCTTTATTTACTCAGATTGATTTGTATAACCACAGAAGCAGAAGTACAAATGAAAAAGAGGAAAACGTCAATGTACAATATTGAAAAGAAATAAAACTATACGAAATAGATAATGTCACAAAGTTATAAATTAAAATGTGACACCCAAGTCAACTTGCCAAGTTTTTATGTCAGTGTTGGTGGTTTGACCAATCAACCGACAACTGCGGTAGCAGAAATTTGGGAACCTAACCTGAAATGCCATCGGAATACGAATTCACATGTTTCTAGAAATGATATGAAATTGAGAAAGGTTAATGCAGTCAAGCTGCTGATCTCCTTAAGTCTCCTGATCATTCTCATATTGATTTCAATTTAAGAGCCACCGGTAGACAGCTGTTTCAGCCTATTGGGCAGGCGGTCCTCGATAAGATAAAATGTAAATAACCAAGAAAAGCACTTAATAAAAATATACAGTAAAATGAATTAACAGGGTCTCTTATTCAAAAAATCAAAACTGCTCTACTTTGCCAAGCTTTCGCTTACAAAAGGAAGCTTCTTCAGGGCAGTAAAAATGAGTGAAATGAACATGTATGGAATTTTTTTGGTTTGATACCACATTGTTTTTTCTGCATTGAACGAGGAAAATTCTTCTGTTGCGATACGCTGCTAGTTTCTTGTTTATATTACTCNTTTTTGGTTTGATACCACATTGTTTTTTCTGCATTGAACGAGGAAAATTCTTCTGTTGCGATACGCTGCTAGTTTCTTGTTTATATTACTCCACTCCTTCATTGCTCTGCTGATCTTGGAACCGTAGTTGAGTTCGATCTCTTCGAAGAACCCCATTGTTGTTTGAAGTTGAGAATCTTAGTGACTGGAGAAATGTACAGTAAAAAATCCTATACATGTTTAACTTACTTTTATCAATTCATATGATCAATCATCAAAACGGTCAAAACTTTTGAAACAACTCGAAAGTTCGTTGAATTTTCCATTTTGAATTGATCCACAGAATGATAGATTCAGTAGTGTCTCCAATGCTGCTGTTGGTATAGTTCTTTTGAGTTTTAAATTTTTGTCGTAAAAATCTTTCAGTTATTTTTTGTTGAGATAGTACGGGTGTGATGAAAGTTTGAGATTGTCTTGACAGGCAGATGTCAGATATACGTTATGATTATCGAAATGACATCATTAAATCAACCATAAATCATTATCAATATAGCCACTAGTAGGATCTCTACTTGATTGAGGAGATTAAAAAAATCAGATAAAAACAACACAGAAATAGAAACGAAAATGCTCACTGAAGATAGTAACTAAAACAAAAATAAACGACAGAAGAAACATCTCGAGAATCTCCAAAAAATTATTCGTGACAATTCAAATTTGCTTCATTGAATTGAGAAAAATTGCATGAAATTGATATACTGTAATATAATAACTACCAAATCCAATTGATGTGGCACAAACTTGTAAAAATGTAATTACTGGATGATATACTACTTCACTTGAAATATTTTTCAACATTGTTTATTCAGGCTTAAAGTGTACCTACATATTTTTATTTTATGTTGAAGTTTTTTCAAGTTATAATCTATATCAGTCTATATCCTTTCTCATTATAAATTCCCTCAACTAATTCATAAAATAGGTATCCTAATCATATTTTTTGTCATTCAAGGCCTATGGTGGATCAGCCAGCTTTTTACGGATCACAACCTAACATTGCTCAAAATCTAAATTCATCATCTGCTACTAATTCGCCAAAAGTAACCCCCAAACTAACAAAAACCCAATCATTCAAACATCCGAAGAGCGAAGGTTTCACACCGAAACTACTTCGCAAACTATCCTTCACGAAAAAGAACAGAGACGGAACTCCAAAAATGAACAAAAAACTCTCGCTCCAACCCGAGAGAATAAACGAGAATCAAGTCCTCCAAGACATCAACAAAAATTCCCAGGACATGTCTAGGCCCAGCAAGAGAGACGTCACTGCAGCCACTGTCACCCACAAAGGTGCCACTTTAGTTAACGAGTACTGGGGGGTGTCTCTGGAAGTGCCTTCTGGGGCAATACCTAAAGGAGAGGAGCGCCACATTTATTTCGTTATTTCTGATCCAAGATTGTGCGACAATGCTCCTCCATTAGATCTCGATAATGGTAATTGAAAGAAGGATTTATGTTTAAGCATGATTTTTGGAAAATTGTTGCGTGTATCTAAAATCTGGTAGTGTAGTTGTTTAGATTAATTCAGTTGTGACATTCATCTAATATTATTTTATTGTCTAATTATGCAACCCAGTGTACATTCTATTGAGCTCTTTGTCTGAACTAGATGTTTCATTCGCAGGTGAAACCATGCTGTCGCCTCTGGTAATGTGTGGCCCGCAAGGTAAGTTGTCTTTCAGCACATATTTTTTCCAGAAAAATATCTTGATATCTTGAAAATAACATGATTCGTACATTCTTATTTCTGTTGAAAAATATGACTCAGAAGTTTAAACTTGTGCGAACTAAGGCCTAACGAGGTCTTACCTTTTAACGTGTGATTCCTAACACGTTCTGCCTACGGCTTGAGCCATCGACTCACACATAGACCGATTGACTGAGTCAACAAAGCACCCACGTCGAACCGCTCGGCTACCGATTGACCATCAAAATTCCCATTGATAGTATAAAATGAATAGGAAACTCGAATAAGTCTTAATTTCAAAACCTTTTAATTTCACATGTACATTGGAGTGGAGTACCTCAAGGCTCTGTGTTAGGTCTTATACTGTTTCTGTTATACATTAATGATTTGACCAACATATCGATTACAGGAAGCTTTACCTTATTTGCTGACGACACCACTTTAGTGTGGCATGACAAGGGCAAAAACAGAAACAGAAACAAGACATGAAAAAAGTGAAGAGTTGGTTCGACTCAAATCTTCTATCATTGAATACTAGCAAAACAAATATATTAGCATTCAAGTGATCTAGATTCGACGAAGTCGATGAAGGCCGTTTTTGCCTCGTCCTGCTTGGCGCAGGCTCTATCGGTGAGAAAGTTATTGAAGTGCCTGAAAAGATGGTAATCGAGTGGCGATAGGTCTGGAGAGTATGTTGGGTGAAGCAGGACTGCTGCTGACGCAATTTTCGGCAAATTTCGTTGATTTCCTTACAATAGAACTCTGCTGTTATGATTTGACCCGGTTGCAGAAAGTTATAGTGAATCACACCAGCCGCTGACCACCATACAGTAATCATGGACTTATTTGGTGGATTTTCGCCTTTGGAAAGTGCCTTGTTCAAGGTCCGACATGGACTTTGAACCCTAGTCCTGGAATACTGTAGGTCAAACACTTTGAGGTTAAAATCTCGGGAAAGAAATTTCGTAAACGAACATTGAACAGTGCCTTCCTTAACAGTATCATTGCCAAATGCCTGGTAAATTTTTTAGGCTGTTTCGGCAAAATCATGTTACATTAAACCGGACAAAACTTTTGACACAACCTAATATTACTTTTTTCAAGTTACTCAAGTTGTATACTAATTTTAATTTTATTTCTAGGTACCGAATTTCTGAAGCCTGTGATTCTAAATATACCCCATTATGCCAACACACTTCCTAGCTTAGGAATTAGTTTAAAAGCGACAGATTCTGAGCAGGATATCCATACCGATTGGGACAATATTCTACTGCCTAGTAATCATGCCGCTAATAGTGTAGCTGTAAAAGTTGATCATTTTTAGAAATAGTACCAGTTCAAACTTTCAGTTCAAACGAACTACTAATCACAAAGTTTGACTGATTTGAGGACATTTTTCATTGACAGTTGAAGATGTTATTTCAACTGATTGATCAGTGATTCGGAAATGCTACTTTTGAATTTTGTGCAAGTCGTGTTATTGGTCATTTTATTGTTTATAGTTTTCAGTATTCAAGATCAAAATAACATTTCAAGTGATTTTATAATGCTTGAAAGAAATATTTCGAGTTATAGACTCAGATCGTTCTACAAATATATGAAAAATAAAAGAATATTTTAATATAAAATATGTGTATTTATTTCAGCATTAAGAACTTCCAAAAAATATGTATAAGACGGAATGAATGGTGTAGGTGTTCATATTATACCTTATGAAAAAATTCCTGAAGCACGATATTTGACTTGAAAGGTGTACCACCATAAGAACTCAATGTTGAATATTTCAAAAGCGGATCTCTAATGCACGAATTATCTAGAATAATAATTGTTATTGTTCTGTGATCATGCGATAACAGGTTGAGAGAACTGAAAATGAAATCTATGATTTTCAACCTTGACTGTTCAAATTTCATTGTTTCAATAATTCATATGGAAATTCAAAAGATGGCACCACTTTCTGCTAACCAAACCGCCTGGGAAACCCAAATTCTTGACATTTGAAAAATGTTGAAAGTATGATGGAATTAGGGTTAAAATAACTCAGGTTTGTATAAATTAATGCATTTATTTGCTGTTTTGACACATAAAATTCAGAAATATATATTTAAGAAATAATTTGTGTATATTAATAATAGCTATAAACATATGTAACACACACAAACTTATCTAGAGCTTAGAAACTACAATCAACAGCATTCTTACATATTTTGAGATCACAAAATATATAATTCAATAACAAATTTAACAATCTGCTTAAATTTTCTGGAAATATGTCTGTGCCATTGTTACAATATTGCTAACGATTCAAAAATGGCAGTTCATAGTTTATTATCATTAAGGAACAATTTCGAATTTTGTTACACTAAATGAATAAACATAAAATAACACAGACATACTTCATGACAAATGTATGACTTTGTACAATAATCAGTTTCCAATGAGCTGCCATCAATAAAATAAAATAGAATTTCAAATACTGACATGAACATTAAAAAAAAATCAAAATTATCACATTATTTTCAAGAAAAGAAAATATAAAAATATCTTTCATAAAATTAAACTAAAATAATTAACAAAAATAATCAAGGTGAAATTGAATACAAGAGTAAGATTTAATTCTATATATAGCTTTTTTTATAACTCCGTTTTCATTCATACGTCTAAGGAATATGGGCCTTTATATTCGCTATTGCATTTTTAACACTTAATATAAGTTTTTGATATGCGTCAGGCGCATTTTCAACTATATACAAATAATTCGATTGTGTCTGTTAATACCTGAGTTCGACTTCCAAAATGTTTGGTCACCGTTAAAAATGCAATGATACACTACCTAATCACATGAAGCTCTTGGATTATCACCACTTTCAAGATGTCACAAATATTACTAGTTTAATGGAGAAATATATTAAGGATTTCAGTAATATGACTGATACCTGATAATCCATTATAGCGTATTCAAACACACTTTAAAGTGAGGTTATCACTTGAAAGTAAAAACATGACACATGTTTCGCTATACATGTAAGTTGATATTCTGAAACAAAAACCTTTTGGCCTCAACTAATTGAATTATTGAATAAAATATTCTGATTCGGAGTATAAGAGAATTTGAAACAAAAAAATCTTACTATCAAATAAATATTCAATGGAAATCACCGCAACATACATAAAAGAGGATGAACCAAGGGAAAATATCGGGAGGAAATATGAAAAAATAACCAAATTGACAAAATGTCAAAAAGTTGCCTGAAGTAATATGCCACATTCAAATTGAATCGAAGTTGTCAACTTTCAGAATGAAATCTCTCTATATTTCGTTTTTATTGTTTTATCAGAAATGATTTACTTGAACCAGTTTAAACTCGAAATTTCGATTTTGAGCTTGACAATACAACTCAAAACATGAAATTACGACTCAGATCTAGAAATTACGACTTCCTACTCGAAATTTTCATTTTCGAAATTTCGAGTTTGAAGTCATAATTTTGATTCAAAAACATGAAATTACGACTCAGATCTAGAAATTACGACTTCCTACTCGAAATTTTCATTTTCGAAATTTCGAGTTTGAAGTCATAATTTTGATTCAAATATCGAAATTACGACTTTGAACTCAAAACTATGACTTTGATCTCGAAATTACCACTTTAATCCCGAAATTATGACTTTTAACTCGAAATTACGACTTTGATTTCGACGTTGAACTCGAAAATACGACTCAGAACTCAAAATTACGACTTTGAACTCGAAATTACGATTTTGATCTCGAAATTACGACTTTGATCCCGAAATTATGATTTTAAACTCAAAAATAGGATTTGGAACCATAAATTTCGATTTCAAAGTAAAAAATTTTGACTTTGATTTCGAAATTTCGACTTTGAATTCGAAAGTACGACTCAGAACTCAAAATTACGACTTTTAACTCACAATTACGACTCAGAACTCGAAATTACGTTTTTGATATAAATCCTGAAATTATGACTTTAAACTCGAAAATACGATTTGGAACCGGAAATTAGGATTTCGAAATAAAAAATTTTGACTTTGATTTCGAAATTTCGACTTTGATTTCGAAATTTCGACTTTGATTTCGAAATTTCGACTTTGAATTCGAAAGTACGACTCGGAACTCGAAATTACGACTTTGAACTCACAGTTACGACTCAGAACTCGAAATTACGATTTTGAACTTGAAGTAACGTTTTTGATCTCGAAATTACGACTTTGATCCCGAAATTATGACTTCAAACTCGAAAATAGGATTTTGAACCGAATATTTCGATTTCGAAGTAACAAATTTTGAATTTGATCTAGAAATTTCGACTTAGAACCCGAAAGTACGACTCAAAATTCGAATTAATTTCGAAATTACGATTTTGATCCCGAAATTATGACTTTGAACTCGAAATTATGACTTTGAACTCGAAAGTATGACTCAGAACTCGAAATCACGACTTTGATTTCGAAACTACGATTTTGATCCCAAAATTATGACTTTGAACTCGAAATTACGACTTTGATCTCGAAATTTCGACTTTGAACTCGAAAGTACGACTCCGAACTCAAAATTACGTCTCTGAACTCACAACAATTCGAAATTACGACTTTGAACTCGAAAGTACGACTCAGAACTCGAAATTACGAGTTTGAACTCGAAATTATGACTTTAATGTAGTAATATTCATTAATACAAGGTCCCAAACAGTGCTTTGCATGTACACAGTGTTAATGAAAACACTTAATAAATGATATAAAAATTGGCAAAGTAATCTGGGAAGGTTTTGAAGGAACTGGAATCTTATAAATTAATCCATTATTCAGAATCGGTCATTTACTAGGGCCTGGTATTTTCTTGGTAGATCTACGATGAATCTAAAAAGTGACTATAAACAGAGCTTCATCAATCATTCACTCATTCATTTATAAATCACATTCAAATCAGAATCTTTACATGATCTTCTGAGAATTAAAAAGGTCTTGCTAAACCATTTACAGAATATTATATTGTTATATTCATTAATCGTTAATATATTCTTTATAAAATAAAATATCCATTCATTCGTTCCCCTAGAAAATTACGAACGTTTCCGAATATAATACATTTTGAAATGAACACATCAACAACATAACATCCTGTATGCATAAAGAATATATTTTCAGGTGTTTCACACCTTGGTTTGTACTATTAAGTCATAAAAATATTACTGAGTAACAGTTTTTAATATCATAAATTAAAACAATCATAACAAGAACAGTTTTGAGAAAAACCTAACGATTATGTTTCCGAAAAACATACAAATTCTACAACGCATAATGTACAAAAGCGAATCCAAAACAAAATTTAGATCATTCTGCGAATCTAGTACGACAATCTCGAGTTTCTTTACAATATTTACAAACATATCCGAAGCAACAATACAGTATTACAGAGCAAAAATTTACATCAGTTCGGAAAAGTCGATTAATTGACGTCTTTTACAAAATAACAGAGGTTCCCAAATTCACGATTTGAAGTTTTATCACAATATGACAATTACGAGGGCACAAAAAACAACTAGACCCATACGTCCATACTCTTGAATATAATGACAAAAAAACATCGATGTTGGGTCTATAACATAAAAATGTATTCAAGTAATACTTTATTTTGAGAACAGTTTTGGGCCATTCGGAAATGTGATTGGATAGTATCTCATCTACGGGCAGAGAGGGCGACAATCGAAAGGTATTTGGTTTATGTTTAGTCGTAAAATTTACATGTCAAAAATCACCTGTATCGAAACTTTTTGAAGTTCCCCAAATACTATGTAGCTTCCCCCTCCCCGGGTGTTATTTCAATTTTAGGGGAGTGAAAAACCAGAAATGTCCAGTACACGAGTTACCCTCCCAAAAACAGTCAGACGTTATTGCGTTATCCAAGTTATGGGTGGAGGGAACATTTTTCAATAATTTCCAACACAGTGGGTAATTATGGAATATCCACTTGATGACCCTGATGGTTTCTGGGCCAATATCATCACTTTTCAAAATTACAACGAACTGAATCGTATCAATTTAGTTTTGTAAGAGTTACAAAAACTTTACACCAAAAAACTATCAATATGTCTTTATACGTTATTCGTGTTTTAAAGTTGGAAATATAAAGATATTTTTCTATGACTGAGTTTCTAAAACGATTACATCTGTAACAAAACGTCAGAAATGTATTTTTCCTTGAAAAAAAAGGAAAATTCACGAAATTATATTCCCCTCCAGCACCTCCTGTGTCTTTTGTAAAAGAATTATAATAAATATCAGTACTTGAAATAGTAATTTTTGCTCGTTCCGCGTCTGATAACACGTTAAGAAAAACCGTGACGGGTTACAATTACCGATCATTCGGGTGCCGTTTTCGAAATCGCCTCCTTTTGCTCACCAACTGAAGCGATAACACTTTTTTGTTGTGCGTCATTTACTTTAGTTTCCGAAGAAACAATACTATCTGTAGAAGTGATTATGGAAGAACTGTGAACGTCATTACACTCGGAAAGAGAATCTCCATTCTGAACAATTTTTTTCTTTTCACTTTCGGCACCTTTGAGTTTCTGTAATTCTTTCAACAATTCGGAATTACTCAGTTCCAAATCACTGATTTTACTGTCTTTATTTCGACATTCTTGCAACAATCGATCGTTTTCCTTCGCCAGCAACTTCATGAATTCTAGAACTCTGTCCTTGATGCCATTTTCAACTCCTTTCAGAACCTCTTCCACTTTGCCATATTCCATTTGCTTTTCAGAGGTTTCGGACGCGCTGTCTTCAGTATCGGTGGACAGTTCTATTTCTGGATTGTACTTCGGCCTACTCTGAACAACTGATTCGATAACAGATTCTTTATCGACATTATTTTCCTTTACAGAGTCAACGTTATTAGCCTCTTGTGGCGTTTTTTCTGGCGAAGCAGTCTCAGTTTTGACGGAATTAAACTCCCCGCTCCTCCCATATCTGAACTTTTTCGGAGTTGGCGGTGCCAAGGCTACATTCGGTTGATAACTACGTTCGAATCTTTCGCTGTCCGACATCAGAACGACCCTCTCGGGATTTTGCAAAACTGGCGGGTCGGTAGGATATCTACCCAGAGCAGTTGCATGCCTCAGCTTGGACTCTTTTATGCTTTGTACGACCGGTTTGAAAGCTGATATATGTCTGTTGACCGTGGAGAATTCTTGCAAACACTGGATGTAAACGGGATCCAGGTTGGCGTAGATTTGTTGTATGTGCTGCATGTTGTATGGCACTGAGTTTATGCCGTTGTGGATCTCTGCCAGTTTCTGTTTCTTCAACGGAAGATCCAGGTCTTTGTGGATTTCAGCGACAGGAGGGACCTGAAAAAAAATTAGAAGTGAGTAAAATTAAGTGACTATTGTCTGTTCAGAAATGAGAGAGACTTCATATATATATTAGTGCCATAGGCGTACTGCATTCAAATTATTTACTCTCAACGAATTGAATAAATGAATACGACGAAAATACAATATTTATTCTTGAAAAATATCATTCATAACAAACAAAATAAATCTACTATGATAAATGTCAAAATATGTCCAGTAGTAACCAAGACATTCTAAAACAAATAGGTATTTAATAGTTGAAGGGGATTGAAAAAACATTGTTTTTTTTGAAGGCGGTATAAATATATATTCCTTTGAATTATACTGTCAACAGACACATCGCACCCATCAATAAGATGTACGTACTTGGTTTTTTAGCGGGGTTATTCGTGATATTCTTCAGTTTACTTCGAAAGCGCGTTTAATAAACAGCTATATACAACATGGAAGCTGGATTCATCGCAAGAAATGATAAGACCTTCAAGCTGTGTGAAGTAAAGAAATATCTATACAGTGCCCTGGAACACTCGACCAAAAAGCTTGGGAAAAATGTATCCACAAAACAATCAGAATCGAAGCAGAGATGTGGAATTTGGATGATCGCATAGACTCATTATCAGAAAAAATTATTCCAGTTATCATCAATCCTAATGAAACTGATTCATCCAGTGAAGAATCACTCAACAATAATAAAGAAGAACGCATATAAAAAATGTGCGACGTAATATGGATGATCGATTCTACGGCCATTTCGTATGTCATTGATGCATATCTGCTATTTCCAACTCCTCCCAAAAACAACAAAAAACAGCACCCTTTCGTTGGAATTGTTTGTTGTGGACGCCTTTTAAACGTAGGCCGTCTTTGCGACGGCATTTTCTGGCGCCACGATGATAAAATATAATTATCCATAACATTACTCACGACTCACGATGAAGATGCTGTTGAATATGTCCAAACAAAAAGAGCGCCGATCTCGATGTTTTCAGTTCCATCCTGTCCGTGTTTTTTATTTGCAAATTTTTCAGGGATGTTACGCAGAAATGTTGAGTTAGCAGTTATCCAATAACACTAAAAGATACTCTATATACCCAACTTCAACTGATACACAATTTATTTACACTACCTTGATGTTTTGAATCTGATATTGGAATTTGGCACCTCAACCTTCTTAAGATTATATTCATACAGCAGGTAGCGTAACCTGAGTAAATATGTAAATACGATTTCATTAATTTTTAATCTGATCAATACAGTAGATTGCTAAGGAAAGTGTTGAGATGATTGCTATCTAGGATCTTCCGAATTATTTTTTCGTTTTTAGTACATGATAAAACCGTTCAACATAAACAATTACTTTATTTCATTTTAAAGATTTTAGTTTCTGATTCTGTTACTCAATTCTTCTCATTCTGTTTAGTTCATTTGGTGCCTCAGAATTACAAGGTAATATGGTAGATCTAGAAAGAATTGTTGGTTCTTTGAAAAATAAAAGTAGTGTAGTAGTGAAATTTGTGTATAATTTCTGAAGAAGTGTTTCAGTGCCATTTGTAATCCATTGTTGAACATTATCAATAGTTCTTTAGAGAAAGGTGAAGTACCAACTAAAATAAAATTATCTACTATTATACCTAAGTATACCAAAAGGACCAAATACAAACCAAGCTATTCAATCGAGACCAATAAACATGATTAATGCTACAGCTAAAGTATTGGAAAGGGCTGTATATGAACAGATAGTGGATTATTTGTAGAGTAATAGGGTCCTTTGTGAGTATCAATCGAGTTTTCGTAGCAAACATAGTTGTGAAACTGCGTTACAATGTGTTTTAACAGATTGGAAGAAAGGTGCGGAAATGGATCAGTATACTATTGCAGTATTTCTTGACTTCTTGACCTTCAAAGGGTATTTGAAACTGTAGATAGATGCAGACTGATTAGAAAGATTGAACGCGTAGGTATTGATGGAATAGCACTAAACTGGATCATTAATTATCTGAGCAATAGACAGCAAAGATTGAAACTAGAGGAAGTTTATTCGGATAAAATGCAAAATAATATAGGTGTACCCCAAGGGTCAATTTTGGGACCATTGTTATTCCTCATATATTTAAATGACTTTGTAACTATAGCAGAAGAATGTAGAATTCACTTATTTGCCGACGATACCCTACTTTACTTTAGTAGTGAAGATGTACATGAGTGTGTTGATACTATAAACGCTAGTCTTGAAAGGGTGTATAGATATTGCTCTGCAAATCAGCTGAAGGTGAACGTAAATAAAACAAAATGGATGTTATTAGGAAAACATAGATATCATAATAATGAAAACCTACTTCTACGATTGAATGACAGTAATATAGAGAAGGTGAACAAATTCGTGTACTTGGGTGTAACTATTGACAGCAACTTGAAATTCAAGGAACATGCTAATCAAGTTATCAAAACAATAGCATACAAAATTAACTATTTAAGAAGACGTTCCCCATATATGAGCCAGTGGTCTAAATTATCAGTCTACAACTCCATAATCCTTCCACATTTGAATTATTGTTCTACCATTATGTTCTTTCTCAATCAAAATGAAATAAACAGACTACAAAAGGTGCAGAATTGTGGTATGCGAATAATCTTACAATGTTCGAGGATAACACCCATAGCAAATATGTTGCAAACCCTTCAATGGCTACCAATGAAGAAACTCTTCGAGTACCAAACACAAACTTTTATTTTCAAAATTATATTGAGACGTACAACTTTTCTCAATGGGAGGTTTAGTTTCAGTGCTGGAAGTCACGAAAAATCATTTTCCCCCTCCAAAGTTTAAGCCATTTTTTCCACCGTACCTTAGATCGACTTGAATTCATTTCCTCGTGATTAGCACACTATTTTCTTTCCTTTATAAATATTTTGAAGCTGTCATTAACTCTTTTCTCTTCGAAAACTGTATTTGCGTGGGTCTATAAATAGAATTCGAGATTATTTCTGCTGTAGCTGACAGTTTTTTCATCGACTAACCAAGATGAGTATTTTTTTTCGTCGGATTGCGATCATTCTTTTTTTAACGCTTGCATTTACTTTGCTTCAGAGAAAAGTTTAGCTTAGGACAAGTTTCATAAAAAATGGTTAAGTAGTTTTCAAAATGTTAGAGGGTTGTCAAATGACCAAATGAACTTCGAAAATGACTTCGCAATATGCTAAATCTGCATTTCTATTATTGATTCTTGTAAAACTATGATTATACCGTATTTACAATTCCTGGCACAGCTCTATCACGTTGATACGACAATGCCTGTCACTCACGATTATTACAAACTGTCTATTTTTAGCCGTTCCGCTGAGCAGAGCTAAACCAAGTCTCAAAAATCAGTAAAAACTTCTGAATTATATTTCTATGCGAATTATATAATTCATGTGGAATTTATGATGGATAGAAATGTAATGAGACATTTTGATTGCTAACATTGCAAAACGTGGTAGACCTGAACATCGTCATAGACTTGGAATCAAAATGCCAATGGCATTTAATTCGATCCAGTATCCAATTGAGATAAATATTTTATACACGCAAGTCAAGGGCGTGTGAAGTCTGGTTTGATAGAAGTTGATAAACATCAAGAATTGTTAAATCATATGGTTAGACAATTACGAGATGTAGATTCACTTCTACATCTACACGTCTCAAAAATACGGATAATGAAACTTTTTGCCATAGTACCGATAGTGCTATTAATGAAATACTGATGAAATACACCACGAAACATTGTCAACCATTTCAAACAAACGTTGATTTAAGGGATTGTCCAGGGTTCCGTAGTAGAGAATCAAAATGTTTGTCACCTTCTTCTGTTATAATTCTGTAACTACGCCATTGAGTGAGGATAATTAAAAAGCCATTTACATCTGTAATGGAGTTTCCACTGCCCCCTCGTAATTTGGTATTATAACGTCTATTGCCACATCGAAATAATCTGTAGCGTTGTTATATTTCGATTAAATCTGCAGCGTTTCAAATAGCCATTACAGTTTTAATACGGATCCGGCGGTATTTCCATGCTATGTTTTATACCTTTTGGAAATTATCTTTCGATTTGATACTCCGTAATAACATCCGCAATTGTTAAATTGAACCTACGGTTCATAGTCCAGCGGCCAACACCTCTTTAGAATGAATAAATATAAAACTGAATCAATGAAGTTATTCCATGTTTCTTAAAAATCGTAGAGGACCCAGAAAATGCTACGAAATTTCAGTTGAACTCAATCTGTCACGATAATTTGCCGATGAATAGGCTCATTGTGAGAACAATTGTGTTGATAACGTCAAGTATTGATTGAATTTTTATCCAAGTTAACAACAAAGTTCGAATATTTCCTGCTTGGAACACATACAAATCGGTTTTAGTTCAAACACCAGGCAATGTTACCACCTGTTCTATGAGTCAATAAATATAATAATCATTATTATAAATGCCCAGTAGTGGTAAAAAAATTGCACCTGCATATCCAGCTCATGTAACTTTAGTTTTTCTATGTTATCCAAAAGAACAATGTATACTCCTTCAAGAACATACATATTGGCACTATAGTGGGGACGAGATGACAGAATAAAGTAGTGGCTTCATTGGCTCATTATTGAAGATGGCAGATCTGTTGTTTCAGATGCCTTATCAAGTACCTACAGGAGTATAACGTATCATCACAACTAGTCAAAGAAGGCTAGATGAATCTACTTAAAAGAAATAAAATTTGTAGGCTTTCTAGACGCTCCATACAATACAATACAAACTCTTTCAGTAACAAAGCTGCAAGAGTTCCAGCTCAAAATGGCACTTCATTCTGGCGATTTTTCGACCTTCGACCTTCAAAGCCCGCTTCAAGGTCACACGTGTTCCTTTGCTCGCTTCAAGGTCACACGTGTTCCTTTGCTCACTTCAAGGTTACACGTGTCTCGTCGTTGGTGTTTCAGAGAGAGACATTAGTAAGTGGGGACA